AGTGGACAACCTTACCTTAACCCTCTACCTGGCTGGAAAAAAACCTTCAGGGGATCCATTAATTAGAATAGAGTATCTAGTAGAAGAGAAAATAACAGTAATCCACCAATCTAACCAGTAGAGAAACCATAACTTTGAAGAGCTTGAAAGAGAAACTTCCATGAAATAGAGTCATATGCCTTTATCATATCAATTTTAAGAGCCATAGAAGCGTGTGTAAGGTGAGAAAAATCCCTAACCAACTCATGAGACATGATTAAAGCATCTTGAATCTTTCTACCTTGCACAAAATCACATTATTCTGCTCCAACCAATTTGTGTAGAACCAAAGACAGCCTTGATGCAACTCGAGCGTGTGAACAAAATAATGCACAATACTTTAAGTTTAGAAATAGTGTAAAGTGGGCATCATAGTTTATAATTTATAAAACCACTTAACACTAATACTATGTAGTATGAGTGAGAAGGGACCATCCCAAGAGATTATACGTGTTGGAATTTTAACTTCGATTTTAGTGATTTAAATGATTGCAAAGAGATTTGGGTTGGTGATTAAACTACTTTAATTAATGAAAATGTAATTAAAATAAAACTAAAATTGAGTTAGGGATTTAAGAGATGAGTAGTGAGGTCTTGGGGTGCATTGGAATCGCCACCAAGCTCATTCACCAAACCATACGCTTTCAACTAATTTGGGGAAAACCTTCTTGTGAACAAAATGCAACTACCAATTGCAATATTAAGCATGGATCATCAAATTCAAGTATGAATTGTCTACCTAACCAACAATTAAACTAAGTGTAGAACAACCCATCAATCCTAAGCATGACCCATCAAACTAGTAACAATTATAGCACACATAAATCTAGAGAATCATAGAATTTGCAATAATAAGCCATGGAATATCAAATCAAGTATAAAATGTCTACCTAACTACAAGCATGAATTAAATTCAAGTATAAACATAACCTATCAAATTAATTGACAAACCCATATAATAAAAATCATGCATAGCCATCACTAGATTCTCAATCAACCACACATAGACATGCAATTAATATAGAAAAACTAGTGTAAATATCAATTCCCAAATAATCACACATAAGACAACATGTAATCACACAGAGAATCAAAAGAAAGAATTAATCCATAAAAATCAAAGGAGAACCCAAGATTCATTAAATTCACAAGGCTAAAACACTAATCAAAAGATATTATTCCGCAAAAAAGTATAAAAGAGATAGAGGTTTAAATTATAAACTTGGGGCTCATCCAATCCCCAAGGAGAAATCTAGCTAATCATGGAGGAGGTGGGTGTGATCTTGGAACCTTTAAGGGCAATCCCCAAACATGGCTCCATCTTTTTTCTCTTCCTCTTTATTGAATTCTAGAGAGAGTGTGTGTGTAGATCTTGAGATGTGTTCTTGATGCCTCCACTCTTCTCTTTTCTTCTAACCCTAATCTCTAACTTTTCTAGAGAGAGAAACTAACTATTACATGTAAAATAAAATAATAATTGTAAACCCTTTACAAATGGTTCAATTCCCCCTTTATACAAGTTTCTTGGAGTAGTGAACAAGTCAGAAAATAAGCCTTTAAAATATCTAATCCCGCAGCCATGTGGTAGGCGAAGTTCGAGCGTGTAGGAATAAAACAGCTCACTGCCAGCATATTCTCGATCGATCAAGAATTCTTCGATCGATCGAAAGCTGCTGCTTTGCAATTTTCCTGACTTTTTTTGGATTTTCTAGATGCATTTGCTTGACTCCAAAAAGGCTGTAATAGACCATTTTTAGCTCATTTAAACCTTATTAACCTAAAATAGACAAAAACATAAATTAGTACAAAAAGGGAAAAATAAAGATAGATAAATGGACTAAAATACCCTAACTTAGGTGCTAAAATGCACCACATTTGAGCACTTATCACACCCCCAAACTTAGATATTGCTAGTCCCTAGCAATGAACTACAAAGAAAAGAAAGAAATAAACAACTATGAACTAGAAAGCAATAACAGGATAACGCCACTTTCGTAGGGAACACGATTGCATTTAGCGTATGCCCCTAGGTTATCCCTAGTGGATGAGTGAAGTCTCGTGAGGGTTTCCAGAAATGATACCCATAAACATTAAGCTCTTTCTCACTAAAGAGGCACCAATATACAAAACAAGCATTGAGAGAAAACTACATCAAATATGCAATTTTTCAACCACCTCTAAGCAATTCTCCAAAATTTCAACACCAAGCAAACAAATATGGTCCTCCACACATTAAGAGAATGATCATGCAAATCAAAACAACTCTAAAATCCTTTTTAAGTGAACCAGCATCAAATATGTTGCTATCTAAGCCAACTAAAGAAATGATCACATCCGGCCTTAAGCTAGCACACAAATCTAGTGATTCATGAGGTTGAGCGTTAGGTCAATGACTCCCAAACTGGACAGTTTTAGGGCACTAGGTGTAGAAATACGTCTAAGGACTTACAAGCTCAAATCAACTAGGCTACAAATCAAAACAATCTCCATGTAATCATTTCCCACTTCTCACCTTTTGAGAAAAGTCATCACTTTTATTTGCTTTTGCAATTTTTTTTTTTTTTTTTTTTTTTAACCTAGAGTTTGGGCCCACCACCTTTCGACGCGAGAAATTCAATGCTTGATGAGGTTAGAATCCCGGCTACTTAGTGAAAAGGGTTTGTTATCCACCTTTGTCAAAAATGAAAGATTTCAAAGCTCTACTAACTCATTTGGGATATAACCAAATTAATAATCAACAAAGCATGTACCCCACAAATGAATGCTAATGTGCACCTGTGTTAATGTAGAATCCTAGAGAGAATCTCAAAACAATCACAAAGTCATAATGATATGGACCACAAATGCAAGCAAGATATCATTTTTTCAAAAAATTTACTCCAAAATGGCATCCACAAAGTATACAAGGGATATTGGACTCTCAAGTCAAGCAATTTTTAAATTCTAAGTATCATGATCCTCAAAAGGTCAAAATCATCGCTAACAAGGATTTCAAATCTCAATCATGCATTTAAAGATCAAAACTTTTAATATAATGCAACAAAGTCTCCTTAGCCCCAAACTTAAACCGCACATTGTCCTCAATGTGCAATGAGAACAATGGAAAAGATGAAAAGAATATACTGTGGTGACAAAGACATGAAGCTCAGAAATGATCCATTGGGAAAAAGTGGACCCCTAAACTTGGAATCAATAATTTACTTGAATAACCATACTAGCAAACTCACATCAAATATCAAATGGAATAAAGATAACCAAATCAAGCATTCTAAGGCAATATAGCACAAAATGCAAGAGAGATATGAGATTAAGCCCTTAGATAAAACATGAAAGTAGCATGACTACACATAAGGGCACAATGGTGAAATATTTTTTTCTTTTTCTTTTTATGAAAGTATGTAAAAAAACAAAATGAAAAAAATATATATAAAAAATAAAAATGAAAGTAAACATGCACTATACAAGAAAAAAAAAAAAAACACACACACACACACACACACACACAATGTGTCTTGTGGGTGTTAAGTGTAATGTCTCTAGGAAGACGGAATGTTATTTTGAAAGATTTTTTTTTTAGAACATAACATGTATGTACACAAACAACAATAAAATGCAAAGAAATAAAAATACAATAAATTGAAAATGCAATGAAATAAATAATGCATTTTTTTTTTCGAGCGATGGTCGCCTAAGGCCGAGCGAATGATTGCCCAGTACCTGATACTTATTCGCAATTTTTTTTTTTTAAATCGAAATTTTCAACAATCGATCGATATACACAAACAACAATAAAATACAATAAATAAAAATACAATAAAATAAAAGATGCATTTTTTTTTTCGGGCGATGGTCGCCTAAGGCCGGGCGAATGATTAACCAGTACCTGATACTTATACGCAATTTTTTATTTTTTATTTTTCACTTTTGCCTTATAATAATAATAATATTATTATTATTTTAAATTGGCAAAAAAACTCTAGTCACAACTCGCTATTTTTCTCTGAAAATTCTCTCGAACGCACAACTCCTTCGTTAACGCTCTTCTTCTCTCTCTCTAAGGCTATGTTTAGTAGGGTGGGTTTGAAGGGGAAGGATAACATTAGTTCTGAAGGAAATGAATGAAAGAGAAGGGGAGGATAATTTTAACCTCCTATCGCGTTTAGTTAATTAATGAAGGAAAAGAAAGGAAAAGATAATAATTATGTTTGAGAAATGAAAGGAAAAGAAAGGGAAAGGAATTATTTTAATAAATTGACTATTATACCCTTTTATATTTTAAAATATAATATATATATATATATATATATATATATATAGTCTCATGCACTGGTCACAAGAAAAGAAAAAAAAAAAAAAAATAGGGCAAATCATTTCAGCCTCCCCAATCTTGCCTCCATCTCTATTTTATATATGTGTGTGTGTATATATATATAGTCTTAACTTGAGACCACAATAAGAAAAAAAAAAAAATAATATAGGGCAAATCATTTCAGCCTCCCCAATCTCGCTCCATCTCTATTCTCCTTCTCAATACTCACACACACACACTCTCTCTCTCTCTCTCTGTGCACTATCAGATTGTTCAAATTCAAAACCCATATATTTCCAGTTTATCTCTGTTTGCAAGAATCAAAACTTCAAAACCCATATCGGCATCATTTCAGATTGTTCAAAAAATCAAAACCCAATTTCAGATTGTTCAAAAAATCAAAACCCATATGAGTTTCCATCGCCCGCTGTTGTTCTAATTCGAGTTCGCCGTTCTCAACTCTCAAGCTTCGCCGTTCTCAACTCTTAAGGGCAAAATTGGCAACTAAAATCACACACAAGCCTCTCCTTTCTTTTTCCTTCATTTTCTCCCATTTTTGAGATGTTAAGAAATTTACTGTTGAAGGCACAAGTTAACCTCCAAACCTTTTCCTTCCCTTCCAACAATTTTTGCTAAACACAAATTTTTAATCCCCTCCGTCACCTTCCCTTCCCTTTCCTCCCATTTCCACCCTATCAAACTGACCCTAACTTCTAGTCTTGTTCATGGTTTACTGGATTTCTACTCTTTCTATTCAATTTTGATATATCACATATATATTATCTGTATATGTTCTGTTTCTAAAACTATTTTTTAGATGCAGGAATTGGTACGAAAATGTCGTGATTTCCTCTCTCCGATCAAAAACTTCGAAGGAAAAAGTCGCGTGAAACTTATGTATTTCCATCTGCTTGCATCAACATTTAGCTTTCTGTTTTAGTATAAATTCTTCAAGATTTTGTATGGAATTCCTTTTGATTTCATTTCTTTGGTTTGTGTGTTCGTGAATTTCTTGGATTTTTGGATTTACTGTGAACTAGGGTTTCTTCATCTTATGATTGAATTTTTCTATTTGTTTAGACGGTTGAGTGTGGTTTGCAATCTTTTTAGAATTTTGTGGTTGATTTTACCATTAATTTCTAGGATTCTGATCTTTTGTCACATAGAGTTTCTTTAGCATATTTTAGGTGGTCTATTTTCTATGATTATGAATTTTCAGAAATTTATTGATTATTTCTTCAACTCGTATTGATTCTGCACAACTATATCTTTTACATGATTAGATGATTTTTTGATTCATGGTCATGTGGGTTTCTTGGTTTGGATTTTCCTGTATAGTGGGATTCAACATGAAGATTCAAAGAAACACACAATATATATTTATTTTTATTTGTTAAAATCTAGATCTATAACAATATATTGTAGTAGTTCTTTCCTTATTCAGCGAAACACACTCAATAAGGTTCAGGGGACACTCTCGGCTAAAGAATTGATATCATAATACCTGCTTTGGGCTCTTCTTTTCGGGAGATGGCCCTTGGACCTCATAATCAATAGGCCCCATAATCTCTTGAGACATGTGCAACCACAGCTCTTAACTCTTCAGGGGTTGCAATTGAAGATACCTTGAAAGAAGAGGGGGATTTAAATATGTTTGACAATGAAGCAATAGGTATAGCCATTTTAGAGCTCTCCTTTCTCAATTCCTCATTGGAGGATCCACAACACTTCTCCCTTTTTCCTTTATAACTCCCTCGCACTCATTCAAATTAGGTCTAGGTGAATTCTCCTTCATTCTCCATTTTTGTTTATGCTTAGTAGTGGGCTTAGAAGAGCAAGATTCGGTAGAATGACCAAAAGATTCACAATCTAACATTTTTGTGGTTTCCTGGATCCTCCTCCACCCTAATCTAAAAGATTCACAGAACAAGGATCCTTGCTTTTAAGAACAAACCACCTCCTATAGTAGATAGTTATCAAGAATCATTCTCATCTGTTCACCAATCCAAACCCACTAAGTCTAGGAGATATATTCCCCAAGTGGATTTCTTTCTTTCTTTCTTTCTTTCTTTCTTTTTTCTTGTTGTTGCTAAACTCTCATTCTGATTTGTGGTGCTTATATCTTCCTCTCTGCTTTTTTTTTTTTTTGCTGGCATATGTAGTGATAGCTTCTTTTAGATCGATTGCTTTCTTGTTGACATGTGTTTGTTTGGTAATTTAACAGTCTTCAGAAAGGACTCTTGATGCTCCTAAGCTCTTAGATGACTTTAATTTGAATTTACTGGATTGAAGTAGCAGTAACATTGTCGCTACTCGCTGTTGGGAATTCAGTATATTTGTGGAATGCTGTTAATGGGTCTACTTCTGAACTTTAAAAAAAAAGTTCAGAAGTAGACCCATTAGCAGCATTCCACAAATATAACTTCTTGTGACAGATGAAGAAATTGGACCTGTGACAAGTGTTAGATGGGCACAGGATGGAGTACATCTTGCTGTTGGTTTAAATAATTCCCACATCCAGCTGTGGGACTCTTCATCTGGTTGGATGGTAAGAGTTTTCTTTGAAGTATCTTTTTTTATTTTTTTATTTATCAATCATATATGCTTTTGTTTCTTTGAACAGATTATTGTAAGTAATTAGATGATGCATGGTGAAATGTTGGCATTTTATTTGACTGTTCTGTGAAAAAGATGACAAACATTTTTGGCTAGTTGTAACTTGTAAGAAACTCTGGTATATGTTGATGTTGTTTTATTTTTTCTTTTGGTCCTTTTTTGGTGAGTAATTTATATTACTAATAAGATATACAATAAAATTCAAAACGTGATCCTGGTGAAAGAAAATTTAAACCAGAGAGGAAAAAACCTAACAATAAAGAAAATGCCTACTCACACCTCGAGAGTTTAGTGGAACGAAATATTCGACCTCTTATTTTCTGGGAAAAGAAGTCTTTGTTTTTTCATGAACTCATGTTATCCTTGATATTTAGGTGCTAAGGAAGTATTAGGCTTTTGTCGGTTTCTCTAACTGCATTTTGTGTGGAAAAGAAAAACATAAAGAAAAAGTATATTACATGCAACACAAGATGCGTCTTTTATATCCGATTTAACTTTTGAAAAATTTGGTAATTTATTTTACCTTCTATTTAGTTTGGAAAAGAACTAAGTCAGGTATAGTGGTGAACTGCAAGGCTGAATAAGGCATGTATGATTGAAGATTTTATTATATTGATATAATGCATAAAGTGGACATGTTTGAAGGATTATGGCTTGTAAAGTTGTTCTATATTTTAGAAAACAGTATTCTGAGAATTATGAGTTTTATTTTTTATTCTTTATTTTGGAGTGAAATGAAATGTATTTATTGAAAATTTCTCATGATCTAGGCATTAGCTTTGTAATTTTTCTGGTGCCACCTCTCCATCCTATACTCTAATATGCTTTGGTTTTTCTGAACAGGTGAGGAATTTGCGTGGTGGGCATAGTTCAAGGGTTGGTTCACTCGATTGGAACAATCACATCCTTACAACTGGGAGAATGGACAGTTTGAGCATAAACAATGATGTAAGGATAAGATCCAGCAATGTTTGAACATATAGGGGACACTGTCAGGAGGTTTGTTGACTGAAATGGTCTGCATCAGGCCAGCAACTAGCAAGTGGGGGGAAGGACAGTCTCCTCTACGTATGGCATATTTCTATGACCTCTACAAATTCTGCCAATCAGTGGATTCACTGCCTAGAAGACCACAGGGCCGCTGTGAAAGCTCTTTCCTGGTGTCCTTTCCAGAGTAATCTGCTTGCCTCCGGTGGTGGTGTAGGAGACCAGTGCATAAAGTTTTGGATTACCAACACTGGATCACGCTTGAACTCAGTAAATACAGGTTCACAGGTCTGTTGCTTGCTTTGGAACAAACATGAACATGAGCTTATGAGCTCTCATGGCTTCAATGATAACCAACTTACCCTATGGAAGTATCCTTCTATGGTCAAGATTATAGATCTTTATGGTCATACATCAAGAGTTCTTCATATGGCTCAGGTGAGTTGGGTCATCAATAAATCATATGCTTTAATCCTGTTCTTGTTTTATGAATAATAGGTTTTCTATTTTTTTCACTACCCTTTCTTGATGGATGCATTTCAGAGTCCAGATGGGTGTACAGTTGCATCTGCAGCAGCGAATGAGACACTATTGTGGAACGTGCTTGGAACTCCTAAATTGGCCGTGAATGCTCCCAAAACGAAGCCAGAACCATTTGTTAATCTCGCCCACATCAGGTGAAGAGTCTGTATCTGGAATGGGTGATTAAAAGCATTTTTCTTGGTACATGCTCCATTGGATTTGTGACAAAATTGGCTAAAAATTATTCAAGGGGAAATAAAACTAATAAAGAAGTTTGCATATTTAAGGTATGTTGAAAGTTTATTCAGTTCTTAATTTACACAAAATCAGCCCAGTTTTTAATAAAAAAATATGGATCATACTTTATTCTTCGCTTTTGATATGAAGTTAAGGTTCCCATTTAAGAGCAACTGCCAACCGGTATATTAGCCCCATATCTACAAGCCTTCAGTTTTTGAGTCATCGTCATCATCATCATCCATGCCTTTATCCTACAATCGGGATCGACCACATGGATTCCTTTTCCACTATTTTCTATCATAAGGTACATCTCCTACTAAACTAAATTTTTTAACATCATTTCTTATCACTTCATTCCATGTTAGTTTTGGTTGCCACATGGATTCTTCTCAGGGCATTGCATTTCTCTATTCCTATCCCTTGTCAGTTATCTCTAAAAGCGATTTTGAAATGTTATCATTGGCTGTGCATTCATACATACATACATAAAAACACACACACACATATATATCAGCTGCAATTTAAAACAGATTTTTTGCAGAAATGTCAAAGAGCTTAATGTGTTGATTTATAAAAGATCTAGAACTGAAAATTGCATCCCCTCAAATTCTGCGAAGATCGAATTGAACAGACAAACCCTCATCCAAGTTTCGAAGCTCTATTTTTGGGTGATTTTGATCTTTAACAGCAAGAGAATCTCACTTATATCTAGTCTATTCCAAAGTCTGCTGAAGCAAGTTATTGTGCTGAAACTTTAGAAGCATTTCATCTTGATTATACTCTGATCAGAAGCCCTCTCTACAAGCTGTGAAGTACTTCAAATCCTCTTCTCTGCAATTTCACATCTGCTGCAGATCTCTATCCTCTGACTGAATTTTTTTTTTTTTTTTTTTTTTTTTTACAAGTGTTTTGTAAAGCAATATTGACCTTCAGTTTTAGTGGAAAAACAGTGTGTGAGTTTGTACTCTGTGAGATAGAACACTGTGAGTGTGTGAAGAAAAGAGTTGTGTGTGTAATTCTTTTCACATAGTGGATAAGATTTCAAGCTAAATTGTTTCATGTCTCGTGTGATTGTTGATCTCAAATTGTGTTAGAAGTCATTTACAGTGAAATAAAAATTGGAAATAATTATGGTTAAACTGCTATAACTGAAGAAAGGCCAAATTGTACTAAAATGCAAACTACAGAGAAAAATGCTGAACTTCAATCTGGATTAAAAAAATATATATAAGACGAGTATGATAAATGTGAGAGTCATAGAGATTGTCGGATATCATGGTTTCAACCAAGATGATAAAGAGCAACTTTACCAAAACTAAGACCTTAAACCTCAAATCTGACATATAGCTCATATCATGTGGCACAAAACAGATCCACAATTACTTTAGCCAAATAATGCAATCAGCAATCTCAAAAAACATAGCATCCTTCTTCTAAACTCAATAAAAAAAGGAAATAATCAATATCTTATTACACCTAAACACCCAAACTAATCCGAGGTCAAAACCTCTTCTCACTTCCAGGACTAGAAACTTGAGAGGAAGAAGATGGTGGAGAAAGAGGGAAGATGGCGGAGAAACTTGAGAGGAAGAAGATGGTGGAGAAAGAGGGAAGATGGCGGAGAGAGAGGGCTGCTTTTTGGTGCCGGAAAGAGAACCAGACTTTGAACCCTAGAAATAAAATAAAGAGAAAAATTAAAATTAAAATAAAAAACTAAACCTTTTTTACCCAATCTCATTCGGGGTAGGATCCAATTTATTTTTTCTTTCTTTATTTTTTTGACCTGTTTAACAAAAGATGAGGTGTTTTATTTTTATTGGACCACATAAGAGGTGATGATATTGTAAGTATTGTCCATGTTGCAAATAATCCTCTTTTGAAAAGTTGGAATTCTCGTGTTAAAGTGACGACTCTTTGAGCTGATTGTTTGGACAAAATACCCTTGCGGATGCCTATTTTGTTCGTTAAAATTGATTTTACAAATGAAAAGCCGAGCGTTTGTTGCATATGTATAAGAGATGGCCATTTTGTCTCAAAGATGATCTTGTAATCCTTAGAGGCAATATCAAAATCATAATAATATTTTTTATTATTAATTAATGTAGTGAAAATCATATTAATTGATTTTGCTTATTATTAGACAAATATTTTTTTGGTGCACTTGGGTTTTATGCTAAAGAGTGGACTTTTAGCGACATGTAGAATATAACCACTTCAAATAGTATAAAATATGTGCATAAAAAAAATGCTGAAAAATTATTTATTTACCGACATTTTTACTATGCAATGTAATTTGGAGAGTTTTTAAGGTGGTTATAAAACAAATTTTAATTATTTAAAGTGGTGAAGAGCGAATTACTCATTATTCTTTAGTGTTTTATAAAATTTCTGAGATTGGAACATACGAGTATTTATCTAACCTTAAAAGAAGAAAATAATAATAAGAATGAAAAGGAATGATATTATGAGGTTGAGCTCATGACAATTGTTATGAGTTTTTTGTCTTTTTGTCATGATCATGTTCAAATGTAAAGATGTTCAAATATTAAGATACATATTTAACCGTTTGGGAAAAAAAGAAATTGTATGAGAACTATAGTAAAAAAAATTTCGCACATACACACATAAATAAAGGCGTGAAAATACACTTTCACAACTATTCTAGACTATATATATATGCTACAATTTTTATTTATTTTTGGTTGTTGTGAAGCCTCCAGTTCATAATATCCTTCAAAAAGAAGCAGAAAACACTCTTGAAAGAAGAGGAAAATGGAGAAATTGTCCTAAAGCTTGTGCCCTCCTCCAAAAAAAAAAAATAAACAACCCCAAAACAGAGTGGGTTGGCAATGATCTTTTCTTGTCACTTCTGTGTATTCAAACGTACCCTTAACCTAAAATCAGAACCGGTTTATACCGGTTCATTCGCTTTTATGAGACTCGCTTTGATACGGTTGTTTATTTAGCCGTTGCAAGATTTTGCTGAAATCAAATACGACTTCCACACAAAGAAAGCAAAAACCCTACTCACAACTCTGCAATTTTATTCTGAAAAATCTCTCGAACACTACATTCATCAACGCTATCTTGCTCTCTGTGTCTCTAATATCTATCTAGTCTTGTTCATCGTTTTGCTGGGATTTCTACTTTGTTTTTAATTTACTTCTCAAATGGGTTATTTGTAAATTCAAACACATATAGTTGAGAATATATATATTTTTTCACTACTGTAATACTCATAATAAAAATAGTAATAATAATAATAATATAAATGTAAGGCGGTTCAACCGCTTTTATGACTAGCTTCGAGCCGTTGCAAAGTCATTCTTATGTGAAATAATTCAATTTTGTTTACATGCAATTTTAATATATATATATATATATATATGCCACTTTATAGGAAATGAAAACAATCTCATGGGATCCAAACAGTGATCACATTTGTGCAATAAAAGAAAGGGAAAATTACATATACATGGAGTCAAAGTTCCATATTTACTTAGAGACTGAGTCAAAGTTTCATATTTCTCTAAAATGGATTGCTGAGGTGGCACATGGTTTTTTACTGTTTAGAAAATTGTGGTGCCTAAAATGCCCTTCCCTAACAAAAAAGTAGTACCTTCAATGTAAAAAAGTAGTACCTTTAGTTCAAAAAAGTAGTACCTTCGGAGAAAAAGTAGTACTTTCGCGGGTGTTTAAAAAACATGGTACCTGGACGCCAAAAAGTAGTACCTTCAGTTCAAAAAAGTAGTACCTTCGAAGAAAAAGTAGTACCTTCGTGGAAGGGTATTTTAGGTACCACAATTTCTAAACAGTAAAAAACCATGTGCCACCTCAGCAATCCATTTTAGAGAAATATGGAATTTTGACTCAGCCTCTAAGTAAATATGGAACTTTGACTCCATTTATATGTAATTTTTCCTAATAGAAACTCATTCCCATGTATATGTATGATTCAGGGATGTCAATTCAGTTCTCTTTAAAGTACTACTGATGATCAAAATGTCTCTGTTTATGACATTTGATTCTCATTACCGTGAATTTATAGCCATATGCTTATGAAATTTTAACCCACCTTCATTTGATATTTTCAGTCCTCACTTCTAAATCAAACTCCATTTAATCCGGTAGTTAAAACTGATTTTTTAAAAAAATATTTTCTACTGTGGTTTTATATTTCTTTTGAAGGACTTGAACCAAACAGGAGGAGGATGATACCACTAGGCTAGAATAGATTACTGTAAAGCTTTTGACTTTTCAACTGTGGGGCCCACCTGAGTTATAAGGGTCATTACAGACCCATTTAATTCCAATTTGCTTTCTCTCTCCGGCAGCTAAATCTCTCTCTCGCTGCTTCTGTTTTTTTCTTTTCTTTTTTCTTTTTCAACTTCAATCCTTGATTTCTCTCTCAATTCTTGGCGGATTTAGGTGCCGTTTGAGGCAAAACGACGAGCACGACGAGCTCTACGTGCTAGTACCAGAAATTCCAGCTTTTGGTCCTCTTTGGGAGCTAGAATTTAAGGACCCAATTTCAAGAGTTTTGTTCAATTTAGAGGTAGGGGCTCTTAATCCATGTTTTCTTACTCTATTGTGAATTATATCTCTCTTGTTGTGACAAGCATGTTTAATTTGGAAGTTAATTGTTTCAATGATTATATAAATGATGTTTAGGAAAATTCATGATTATGAATATGAGTAGAAAAGCATGCTTAGAGGTTGTCTTGTTGTGTTTAATGTTTTGATAATTCATTTGGAGATGTTGAACATGATGTATGCTTAATTTTGTGGTGTAAAAGTTTGTGTTGTCTTGTCGTGTTTAATGTGTTGATAATTCATTTAGAGATGTTAAATATGATGTATGCTTAATTATGTGGTGTAAAATTCTAAATGCCATAATATTGAAAGCATGTGATATATATACATGTACATACCATTGGGTTTGCATGAAATGGGAAAAATTGTTCTTGAAATAAATATGGGGAATTTCAGGGAAGTGTTTTTGATGAAATGGTTTTATGCGAAACCCGGTCGCTGAGGGTTACCAACGGGCCGGAGGTTAATATAGCCTAAAGGGGACTAGGGAGTCGCCCTAGCGTGGTTGAGCTAGCTGGGCCCCATAATGACGCCGCGCGGTTACCAAGGGTCAGGGACACTAGCCAATCCTCCTCTCGTGTCGCGGCGGGGCTACCAAAGGGTGGGCTGTATTAACAGTTTGGAAATGATGTTTTGGATTATGAAAATGGGGAGTGACATCGGCATGCATTTGCATTCCATGGCATTGCATTGTTTGTACTTGAGTTTGGTTGAAATGTTGTATTATCCCGACACTGTATGATCCTCATTCCTATTAATCTATTCTTTGTATGGATTCACAAGGACACAAGATGCGTGTCTTAAGTGCTACCTACTGAGCTTTATGCTCACTTTATTATTTAATAATTTTTTTCAGGAAACGGAAAAGAAGTGGCGGATGACTTTCCACCACAGGCCTAATTTGAATTAGAAGACTTCTTTTTGCTATTTTTGTATTAAGTCCCATATTTTTGTAAAATCTTAGTTTGTTATATTTGGTATAGAGATTTGTGAAACTCTAGTTATTGTAACTATATTTTGGGACTGTAATTATGATAATTTGGATTAAACGATATGTAGATGTTCCACTTTGAGATGAGCCACGTTGAGGTATAATGAACGGATGGATGGGATGTTGGAGTATATTAAGTTTATTATGTGTTGGGACAGATTGGAGGTGTTTTGAAAGGCCAAGAAGGGCCATTGCGTTTTTTTATTTATTTATTTATTTGAGCAGGTGGTTGTAGTCCCCTTTTTAGGGGAGGTCATGCCGAATTTTTTTAAAAATTTTGGCATCAGCTAGGGTCGTTACAAATTTGGTATCAGAGCGATGGTTCGAATACCATTAGGACGACAGGTAAAGGCTTGCCTAGGGTTGTCTGGGAAGTCATTTGCATTGTTATTTCCTTGTTTGGAAAAGTATTTTGCTATGTGAAAAAGCATGCTTAACTGCTTACTTGCTTACGTGCTTATGTGTTT